TCTGTCCCAAAAATAAATAAACGTTGAAAAAAAAAATAAATAATAATGATCTACAGAGTTGCCCAGTTGGCTTTAATGCACGTAATGTACTCCCGGGGCCTCGTGGCAGTTTGTTTGGGAGTGGTTTGGGAGTTCCTGGCCTCTGGGGTGGGCGTCCTTGGGGAAGAGCACCTTTCCTCATCTCTGGGGGAGGCAGAGCCTAAGGCAAGGCTCCCTGGCTTTCGCACCAGTCTCGTCCGCCTCCCAGCTCTGCTGTGACAGCAGCCAAGCGTTTGCCTTCTCTGAGCCTCAGTTTTCTCATCATAAAATGGAGGCGGTGTTCCCTTTAAAGGTACGCCGGAAAGGTTAAATGAGGTAACATGGATGGATCGCAGATGAGGTAAAATCTGTGTGTGCAGACAGCAAAAATGAAACGCAGGGAGCTGTGGTGGACTGGGGGCGATGATGGCCACTGAAAATCCGTCCCGTCCCTGTGCGCGTGAGCCACTCTCCCCGGCAAGAGCTGGAGTCTGTTCCCTCCCCCATTCAACTGGGCTGGGCTTGTCATTGGCTTTGACTAGTACAGTGTGGCAGAAGTGACACTGTACCACTTCCAGGCTGAGGCCCTAACGGGCCCGGCAGCTCTGCCTTTGGCTTCTAGAAGCTGCCCCATAAAGCTGCCACATAGGAGAGTCTGAACCATCGGATAGCAGCAGGGAGGGGGAAGCAGTCAGCCCCTGTCTGGCCATCTCAGATGAGGCAACAGCCACGTGAGGGAAGCCAGACCACGTGGGTCACCAGATGACGATGGCAGTCACAGGTGAAGAACAGCCCAAATGAACCCAGCCCAGAATATGGATTCATGAGCATATAAAATGGCTGTTGTTTTAGAATGATTTATTGTACGGTCATAGGTAACTGATAAGGGGCTTATAAGGAAATCTTTTGAAAGCTTGAAGAATATACTTAGGTTATATTCAAAATTAACAGGATGGGGCGCCTGGGTGGCTCAGTCAAGTCAGGTAATTTCAGCTCATGTCATGATCTCATATTTGTGGATTCAAGCCCCACGTCAGGCTCTGAGCTGGTGATGCAGAGCCTGCTTGGGATTCTCTCTGCCCCTTCCCAACTTGTGCACGTGCTCTCTCTCTCTCTCTCTCTCAAAATAAATAAATAAACTTAAAATTTTTTTTATTTTATTTTTTATTTGAGAGAGACAGAGAGAGACAGAGTGCGAGCAGGGATGGGGCAGAGAGAGGGAGACACAGAATCTGAAGCAGGCTCCAGGCTCTGAGCTGTCAGCACAGAGCCCAAAATGGGGCTCAAACTTATGAACCCTGAGATCATGACCTCAGCCGAAGTCGGACGCTTAACTGACTGAGCCGCCCAGGTGACCCGAACTTAAACATTTTTAACAGGACACCTTCATGGTACCCGCATTTAGCTATTCCCAAACTATTTAACAGAAGGACCTGTGATTGTTGGCTAAACCCCACTAGGAAATTCTCAGGCTTGTTCTTGTTAACTTCTGAAGCCTATAGTCCGAGCAGTGGTCTTTGGAGAAGGTGCTACCTGGGAAGAAGGTAACTCTTGAGTAACCTGCTGCCAGAATAGGAACTTTCACCATCTAGCTCAGATCCCTCCTGTGAAGCAAGAGTGATTTCTTCCTTCTCTCAGCACACAGTTCTCGCCACTGACTCTGCTGTCGGCACAAAGTGGGTCACTATGTCCTGCCTGCAACGCCTGCTATTGTTTTTGAGCTGCTTCTAAACCACCTTGCATTGCTATTTAACTTGTGTTAATGTCTCCAGAGATAGAGGACGGTCCCACAGCTCTGTGTACCCCAGGACAGTCCTTGCCACCTAATCCTCAACAATGTCAGTTAATTTGATCAAATCACACCACCACAGGATGAAAAGAAAAGAAAAGAAAAGAAAAGAAAAGAAAAGAAAAGAAAGAAAATGGCATAGTTTTATGCTTCAGCCACACTAAGCAAACTGCATTTCCCAGCACCCCTTTGTGCCTTTGCACAGACAGTAGCTGGCTGGCCCGGGCCTGGTACAAGAAAGGACTTTGGTAAGTATGGGGAGAAAGTGAGAGGGAATGTGGACAGCCAGCCACGCAGAATTAGAGCCTGCACAGGAGAGGCTGCATATACACATTCAGGCCACTGGGGGGCGAGTCACCTCTACCCTCTGGGGAGGCCCCAGCACAGAGGTATTTATAAGCTCCAATAGTTATGAAAGAGCTCTTTGTAAATTTCCATTTCCCATGTACTGTGTATTTTATGAGTCTATTTCTTACAGGGTTACCCTAACTGACTGAGAAGTTATCTTTCTTCATACTCTCCTGGAAGGGCTCAATCTTTCAGAATCTAATAACACAGGCTATTAGATTACCTAGAAGGAAATTATTTGAGATTTGTGAAAGGCTTATACCAACAAAGCCAGTCAAAGCCAGAGCTTTCTCTCACAGGCCTCGTAGGTAGGAATGTATGGTATACAGATAGGCAATCTGATGGCACTCATCAACACATGACATACACATGTGTTGTTTGATTCAGAAATTCCACAGAAATACTCATTCAACTGCCCAGTGGTTGAGGTGCAAGGATGTTCATTACAGCCTCAGGTCTGAAACAGCCTAACTTTCAATGAATATGAGATTGGTTGAATAAATCATAGGACTTCTCTTCAGTGAAACATTATACAGTCATTACAAAGAAGAAAGTAGTCTTTGCAACAAATATTGCTGGAAAAATCAGCAATATTTGGGAAGATATGGTAAGAAAAATCAGTCTTCCATATGCAGAACAAAAATTATTCTTAACTCTTACTTTACCCCATACATAAAAATTATCTCAAAATGGATCATAGACTTAAGAGAGAAAATTATTAAACTTCTAGAAGAAAACACAAGAAAATCTTAGTGACCTTGAGCTAGGCAAAGATTTCTCTTCAAATTAAAATTTTTTCTTAAATAAAAATGGCATATATTTAAGATATACAGCATGTTTTGGTACACATATATTTTGTGAAATGATTACTGCAGTCAAGACAATGAACATATCTGTCAACTCGTATAGTTACCTTTTTTCTAGTGAAAACACTTAAAAACTACTCTCTTAGAAATTTCCACTGCACCAAAACAGTATTGGTAACCGTAACCCCCATGCTATATGTTATTATTCATCCTATATAACTGAAACTTTGTACCCTCTGACCAATGTCTCTCCATTTCCCCCATCTTCCCCAGCCCCTGGTAATCACCATTTGACCCTTGGGTTCTATGAAAAGAAGCTTTTTAAATATCAGGACATAAAATGCATGAAGCATTTAAGAAAAATGTTAAACTGGACTTGATCAAAAATTTTAAACTTCTGCTCTATGAAAACCAATGTTAAATTGAAACGACAAGCCAAAATGAGCACCTGGGTACCTGGGTGGCTCCGTCAGTTAAGCGTCTGACTTTGGCTCAGGTCATAATCTCATGGTCCATGAGTTTGAGCCCTGCATCGGGCTCTCTGCTGTCAGCACAGAGCCTGCTTCAGATCCTCTCTTCCCATGCCCCACTCATAAACGTGCTCTCTCTCCCTCTCTCAAAAATAAACAAACAATAAAGAAGAAAAGAAAAGGCAGGGCAGGGCGCCTGGGTGGCTCAGTTGACTGAATGTCTGATTTCTGCTCAGGTCATGATCTTGCAGTTCGTGGGTTTGAGTCCCACGCTGGGTTCTGTGCTGACAGCTCAGAGCCTAGAGCCTGCTTCAGATTCTTTGTCTCCCTCTCTCTCTGCCCCTCCCCTGCTTGCACTCTGTTTCTCTCTCTCTCTCAAAAATAAATAAACATTAAAAGAAAAAAACCTCTCTAAAAAAGAAAACACAAGCCAAAGACGATAAGTAAATATTTGCAAAACACATATATGATAAAGGATGCATATTCAGAATATATAAAGAACTTTACAAGTCAATAATAGTAAAGC